GGGGAGAAGATGAGAGGGAGTGAGAAGATAGCAGGGAGAGAGAGAGGGGAGAGGAGAGACAGAGAGAGAGACTGTTTTCTGTAAGTCTGGGCTGACTGACAAATGAAATTGAGAATTTTCACTGGAAACATTGTCTGACTATTCACTTCACTTATCCAATCCTCTAGAAAAGCAGATTTGTTTGAATGAAGAACAAAGATGGTCAACTCTTTTAGTAAATTAGCCTTTTTGAGTAAAATTTAGAAACCCGTAGCATTTAATTAGATTTCTAGTCCCAAGTATACAGCCATCAAAACGCTAAGGGATATGTACTGACTGGTTGGCATGGGTTACATGTACTTTGTTTTTTGCTTTTCTGCCAGAATTGCTGCAACTAAAAGCTGGAATTGTACAAGAAAAACCAATCCCGCTTCAGAAACCCCAGGCGATATTATAAATAAAGCAAAGTACATAAAGAAGTGATTTGCTGTAGGGCATAAGCAGTACACCAGCCTATAAGCCTGGATGAGGACCCGTCACTTTGTGGGCGTTAAACTTAACAAAGATCAAACGCCGTCCCCGATTCAAGAAACCTGGAGCAATACTGGTATTCTTGAAGATCCTTCAGAATTTATAGAGCTGCCCAAGTTAAATACTTTTCTGGAGGATGCTAGCTTCCTTATTACAAAAATAAACTACTGCATAGTCTGGAATAACCGGAGATTACAAGAACAAGGGAGGAACTTTTTTTTGACTGCAATAAAATAATGATTTGCTGCGTGTTATAGGCTCCATACCTGAGTGTTCTCCTGGGGAGTGCACTTCACTCATGCTGGAGGCAGAGTGCGGAGAGTCGGCCTGAAGAGCCTTGAAGATGGCATTGGGGGAGATGTGGGTCTGCTCGGAGCCGTCCTCTTGCTCAGCCTGCCCGTTCTTCACAGACTTTCGACGCCGGGGCTGGTACTTGTAGTCTGGGTGATCCTTCTTGTGCTGGACTCTCAGCCTCTCTGCTTCCTCAACAAAGGGACGTTTCTCATTTTCATTCAGCAACCTTAAATTAATGCAAAAACAAAATGGTTAGATTTTTTTGAGTAATGAATGGGCTGCCAATAAAGCCTATCTATCTATCTATCTATCTATCTATCTATCTATCTATCTATCTATCTATCTATATCTATCTATCTATCATCTATCTATCTATCTATCTATCTATCTATCTATCTATCTATCTATCTATCTATCTATCTATCTAATCTATCTATCTCTGTATACCTATTGCTTTATTTGCCTATTGATCTGGTTTCCTATTTATACATAAAACATATAAAGAAATACTAGTAACACATGGTCTGCAAACATATGTGTATACTGCAGAAAGTTTGCATTGCATTGTTTGCTTGTTCTTTATACCAACTGAGTGAACAGCCACCTGTAGAAATGTTTTATCAAGAAAGAATGTATATACAACTACTTGTCTTTACATGCTAAAAAGCGAGCCCTTTATTTTGCATCATGTCATCATTTTACTTCCATGACATTAACCACTATCTCTTACTGGTTCTGTCAGCCCCCATCAAACCCCCATCAGCAGAATCAGTGGGGAACCCAGCAAAATGCAGGAAATCAGACCTGGGGAGAGAGAGCCACCTTCCAGCAGGATGAGTCTCCTTTTACTGACAGAGCAGGCAATCAGATAAAGCCATAAAGAGAGCCCTTTGAAGTTAAGATGAGTAATTTCTATACAGCCAGCAGTAATAAACCTCAGGCTACACACACACCATGTGTCCACTTGAGCCCTCCAGCGGTGTATTGCATAGAGAGAGAGAAAAGCAGCATTTGAACAAGCACCTGAGACAGAAGAGCTCAGAACGTCAGTGCAGGGCTTATACTACTGATCTGGACAATGAGCTTGCATTCACATTTCTATATGTGTGTATGTATGTATGTATATATATAGATACATAGATATAGATCTATATCTATATGTATATAGATATAGATCTATATCTGTATATATATCTATATGCATATATACACCGACACATACACAGACACATAGCACCAGCAATATGTGCTCTCTTAATTGGCTATTTTGCCACACATGCCAACTGTTATATGATAAAGGCACCAGGAACTCTTAGAATCCATGTCAGCCAACTCATGTTATCAGAGTTAGACCACGGCTGATAGAAATGGGTCTATTTTGCGTCCTACCTCGCGGAACCCAGCAGCGCACAATTTGCGCAGCACAGCGATATGCGGAACCCAGCAGCGCACAAATCGCGCGGCACAGCAATATGCGGAACCCAGCTGTAGCCCCGAAACTGGCACTTGAACTCCCGAAATGCCCATGAAACGCGGCGGCTCAGGAAATGCCCACGCTGGCACTGACGTCTCCAGCTAATCTACGTTAATAGAAACAGATGGCAAGTGTGCCAGTCAATAACCTAACTGCGCCACGGGGACACAAGCTGCAATCAATGCCAGCATTAAATAAAATAGCCACAATGGCGTCTGGGCAGGGTGGCATTTTGGCAATTGGTCTTTCTAAAAACAAAAACAAAAAAAAAACAGGATGAAGAGGAGAGGTGGCATGCCACTTACCTCCACAGCTTGCCCAGAGTCTTGCTGAGCTCCGCATTGTGCAGATGTGGGTACTGGTCTGCCAGCTTCCTCCGGGCCGCTTGTGCCCACACCATGAAGGCGTTCATTGGCCGCTTGACGTGCGGTTTGTTCTTGCTGGATCCGTTCACCCTGACGGGCATGGGCACCAGGGTCCAGTCATATCCCTTCAGCACTTGGCTGACCGCCTCTCTGATACAGACAGGGAACTTCTCATCCTCTGTCTCCTTCTTGAGGTCCGGGTCCCCCTTGGGGAAAGTGTTCTCTTGGGGTCTGGTGTTCTCTGTGTCTGAGCCAGACCCAGATGGGCATGGGGAGCCGGCTGAGTCCTCAGACATGCTGGGGCTAGGGGCCCCAGACAGGCACTTGTCTTGCTCTTCTGTCATCTTCAGGAAAGGATCCAACAGATTCATGCGAATCAGATGGGGAGTTGGGTGCAAAGAGAAAAAAAAATATATATATGATATATATATATAAAAAATTTGAAGAAGGGAGGAGCTGGCACCGCTAGGCTGCTCACAGGGGTGAGGGTCTGCAAAATCAAGGATAAACCATATGTGGCTGTGTATTCTTCCAGACTCCCCTAGACATGCACAGGCTGACTTGTCTGCAGCTCTCCTCCTTCCAGCGCAGCAATCACACTAACCCAACTTCACAGTCTGCTCTCCAAGCCAGAGGGATGCTGCCATAAATACCATCCTCCTTTGTAACTTTCTGCCAATCACAGGCGGGCACGCCCACCTGACTGGGCGGGGCTTTACTCTGTTCTAGAATCAGAAGAGAGAAGAAAAAAAATCAGAAAGTGAGAGAAGGAGAGAAATTGGAACTCCAACTGCTGTCAGTGCTGAGCTACCTAGCTGCAAGTCCTGCCTTTGTCTGGCTGGACACAGCAAATGTTGTATATTTATCACAGGGGCTGTATAATCCATGATGATAATACCCATCATCTCCAACACATG